AGCATACGACAGCCGGTTCCTCTGGGCCTCGCGCCTCGCATTTGGCGTGGTGACACAACTGCTTCCGTGACGTCAAATCACGTGCCTTTCTCCGACGCACTTATTGGGTCGCGGGGCGCTAGCACCCACAGTTCACCAAGTTATCATAAAACAGAGTATAGGGAGTATTCACTGGCGGCCATAGCTGTGTGCGCGACTGCTGAGCGCGTGCTGACGGCGAGCTTCCACAGTTCTTTTTCAGCGTGCATTCCACACCATCAAGATTGCCGGTCTTAGCAGCCTATTAATGTGACCTCGCTCTGAGCATGCGCTTTAAAGAGCACCCACAAATATGGCGTCCAGTTAATACTCCCTATAGATGAATACAAAAATTTTAGAACGACGTAAAAAGAATGGAGTGTTTGGTGCTGTGTGCAGTAAGTATGGCGTCACGAGCTGCGGGTTAACAGTTTTGACAAAACCCACTTTGTCGGAACTGTGAATCTGCGCGTGCTTCATAGTCGACGAAGGCTTTGGTTCAGATATGTTGTCGGCAGCCGGCAGAGGAGTTGGGGAAATAAATTGCCGCTAGTGTTCTTTCATTGGTTGGCTACCGTCAAGAGAGGGGGAGTTTATCCACATCTTTGGTCAACGGCAAGCGCACGCACTGCCGTCCCTTTGATCGGATTGCCACGTGAACGCTGCCGCCTCGTCTGGTTTAAGAAGCAGAAGGAAAGTGTGGGGCTCAGTGTATGTTGCCCCCGTGTTGAACATTACTGGCTCTATGAGTTTTGAAATCTGTTTTCGATACTGAACCCGAAGAAGAAAAATATTAATATTAATAACAATGATAACAATAATAATAATAATCTTTATTCAACGTGCCCCAAAACAACCACAGTGGTCTCTAGATTGGTGCCCTACTGAAAAAAAAAAAAAAAAAAAAAAAAAACATTTGGCGCCTACATGAAAGTAAACAGGCTCATACCGTTAACAGTTTAGCCACACCGGAGACCAGTTTGTCAAAGGGCTCGCCCGTATGTCTCAAAGGGGTCCCCCGTATGAGCCATAACGGTCACCTGTATGGGCAAACAGGTCACTTCTTTGGCAAACGGGTCAGTTGTCTGGGCAAATGTGTCACTCGTTTCGGCAAAGTTGTCGCACGTTAGCTCAAACCGGTGACCATGTTGCACAGACGGGTGACCGGTGACCGGCAAGCTGTACAGGTTTAATTAAACGGCTCTCCGGAGCCCGTTTAATACTGAACGTACAGATCGGGGGCGTGGGCACGACAGTTTCAGCAGTGGCAGCCTGTTTCGGGAAAGCCGGGAATAGGGTGCCTTCATCGATTTACAATCGTCCGCGTAATGCAAGTAATTATATTTATATTTTGATTGCGCTGATGTTCGCTTATATTGCAACAGCAATAAACTTTTTTTTTTTTTTACGTAAACATGCGACGTTGCCGAGCCGATATTTTTAACAGAACTTCAAAACTTTGGCGTTCTTTGTTGCCTCAATTTACTTATTCAGCTCGAATCTCTCTCGCAGAGGACGCGACCGCGTGAAAGAATATACACGAACTCAACTCTGTGACGTCACGGCGCGGTGGTGGCGCGTCGGTCGCACTTCCGGTCTGGAGCTGTGTGCAGAAGTCCCCATGCCAGACGTGTATTCCTGCGTTGTTTTTAAAAGGAACCAGACAAAAACCTGCCTTCTCGTCAAAACGCCACAAATGAGGCCGTACTAGAAGTGTCGAGAAAGCTTTGAAGGTCAGTTTTCCCGTGCTCGGTTCGTCCGAGTATCTGGATTTGTGCCGTGAAAAGGGAAAAGCTGACGCCGTCGGACAACGATTGCTTGGGCGGGAAACACTTTGGGCTGAATTCACGGATACTTGTGGTCATCAGATTTGTTTTGCTCCAACATGAATGCCAGAAAACCGTCCAGTTGTGCGGACCACCTGCGGACTATGTTCAGTGCGTCTTCCAGTTCAAACGGCCGCCTGATCGTTCGACCTGTCGTCTGCTCTTTCAAACGTTTTGGCTTGTCGTCTGCACTCTTAGACGACGCCGGCCCGTAGACCAAATGTTGGCCCGGTACTTGCGATAAGAAGTAAGTGCAGGCCTCAAAAGACTTGAATTTGAAGGTTGGTAAGCAGGCTCAATGTAAACAGTAGATACAAAGAGATGTTGATCATTGTTACCAGTGACCATCACCGACTTGTTATGCCTAATTCACTTGGTCTGATTCTGCTTGCGATTTTCAGCATCGACGTCGACCATCTCAGCTACGGTTCACGCTTTTGCAGCCCGAGCGGCGTCGCGACTGAAAATGGCGAGCGAAATCTCATCACGCGAATCAGGCTTTAGCGTCCATACTGCGGCGTTCACGCGGAATGAATCGCCACATGTCACATTATTCGCGCGAAGTTTTGCGGTGTAACGAGCCTCGGTAATTTCGCTGACGCCGCTCAAGATAGTCAGACATCGCCAGGAAGACGTAGAATCAACAATTCGAACGCGAAAAAGGGCAGAGGACTCACATTGACGCCGAGAAGATCGCATTTCAATGGTTTGTTTATGGGCGACGGCGAGCTTTTTGCCCACTACCTCATCGCGCATGCACGGCGCCGGTGGCGTCCGCTAGGGGTCCTCCGTTTTGTTTGTAAACATGAGTTGGTGTATACTTCTATACTTCGTCTCACCCTAGCATGGACAAACCGCGAATAGGGTGCCTTCATGTGCGCTTTGCTTAGGGTGGAGACGTCTGGCCATTTTGTTCCCACTTTTACATTTATTTTTTGTTCAGAAGCGCGTGAAAGAACATGTCCCTGCACGCGTCTGTGGCGCGGACTGTGCTATGGCGACATTTTGTTTTCGTCGATTTCTTTGTATTTTCCCCGTGAGCGCGTGCTGTCGGCATCGGGTACTACAAAGGGTGGCATCACTCTAAACAGAAGGTCATTGAGGCGCCCTAACCGCGAAGGCTGTGCTAGCGCGAGCGGCCAACCTTGACAGCCTTGACTAGAGCACTTGCTGCACGAGCGCTCGTGCAGCCGCCGCGGCTCTATTCAAAGCGACGAGCTCGCGCTTTTAGCACGCGCGGCTAACAATAGTCCATACTAAGGTGAGACGAAGTATAGACTCCGTTTCGCCCCAATTCAAGACTCAGCGAAGGTAACGCGCGAACACGTGGCTGCACGAACATCGAGCATTGCGAGAGCAGGCCCGCTGTTCCAGCAGTCAAATTAGGAGCTAGCGCTGGTGCATTTTGAAGCGTGTGCTACACTGGCCGAGGTTGAGCAGTTTCGCGTGGCTCGCATGAGCCGTGCTCCGTGCTGCGCATGCGCGAAGAGCAGTGACGTCATTCGGCGCACAGCTGGCACGCCGGCGGCGCCGCCGCCGCGCGCGCCTCGCCGGTCTGCACATTCCAGAGGAGTGACGTCATAGCCGCGGCAGACGCACTGACGCCACCGCGTGCCCATCTGTGCGCCTCCGTTGCGCATAGCCAAGTCTGACGCTGCACTGGAGCCACTTGATAGCGCCTCTCATTTCGCGCGCATACGCTCACGCTACGTATATCCTGTCTTACGTATATCCAGCTAAACCACCGCAATTTTTTTTCAGTAGGGTGCACCTCCACAAAAACACAATAAGTAAGAAAAAAAACAACACCTTACCTCAGTCAAGACACGCTAATACCAAAATAATGCAAAACACAAAATAAGAATTGGTTAGCTTGAAGCGAATTACCCCGTAGGAGGCGGAAGTCAAAAGCTGATACAGAGATATCGAGATCCAAGATCCGGAGATCCAAATAAGGCAGCCCTTTCCGAGTAGTGGGACAAGTGATCTATGACCACACTGATCCATTGGTTCCCTTAACGAGTAAGGTGAAGGGGTCCCAACAGATCGACTCTACTCTTTCAAACGGTTAATACGGTGGGTAAAAAAAAAATGAAATGTCCAACCAATGAAGTTGTCCAATCTTTTGTTTTTGCCATTGACGTTTACGTGGATGATGCCACATACTTGAAAATATTACGACACATGCCATGGCAGTAGAAGGTATAGCGAATACGTGCATACATTTTGGGTAATCTCAGGTGTTCGGACTTAGGACCTCATCTACGCTACGACATTCATTGGAATGTCGTAGGGTTGATGCTTGGGAAACAAATAGTAGATCCGGACCTTCTGGGCCATAGTTGCCACGATATCATATATTGTTTTTCGTGACAAGCAAGTTGTTGTTCGTTCTAGGTGAGGTCGGGTATGTAGAGAAGGCAGAAAAGCTTTTGGAACTTAGGCTGTTCTCGTTTGTCAACAGTGAATTCTAACTTGGATGTCTGGACAACAACGGTAACGGCAGGAATAGGAGGATTTGAGGATGCCAATAGTAGATTTCAAGAAAAGCAGTCAGGTGTGTCGTGTTGCTTGCCGGACTTGTGAAAGAGAAACACAAGGTATTCTGAACGTTTTATTGACCATCGTCAAAGGCGTCCAGAAGGAGCTTAAAAGTCTGTTAATCAGCAAAAAAGAAAAAAGTAAAAAAAATAACGTGGTGATCGGTAACAATTTTCAACAGACGACCAAAAATGTATGGTCTTTGAATTTGCTAATGGTCGATATGACGGCTAGGCATTCGTTTTCGGTGACAAAGAAACTTATTTCCGCTTTGGGCAAAGTACGACTGGCATATACGGCATGTCATCTTCCGACACGCTTTGGGAACATGACGGCATAAACTCTGTAGCCACTGGAATCGGAGTATTACAACACTCTTACAGATATCAGGATCCTTTGCAGCAGGCTAGCTCAGATTCATTGAAAACGTTCACATAATTATACCGAACTGAGTCACCAAGCATATACACACAAACCTGAAAGTAAATAAAAACAAACTACGGCGCAATACCGTAAAAAAGTTGGGATTGGCTAATACAGTGAAGTTTACGTGAACGTCGGCAAGTGGAAGATCTTTCCCCTTTCTAAGCCGCCGAAGGTTGATTGCGGGTTTAGTTTCCACGGCAATGTTTTCATATTTTCTCCATTCTGATCCAACATCCACCATCGCTGAATGCAAGAACCACTTGTGAGACGTACTTGAGGGTCCTCTGAAAGGGAAAATAGCGCAATGAATATTGTGTTATGAAAAAAAAGTCACCTTCCAACTGACGCTGACAACTTAACAAACGCAGATAGTAGCGAGTTCCAACCATCTTTTATTATCGCTCCTTGTCATTGCTGCATGCGTCGATAAGACCGCAGAAGAACGAATCGCGAAGCAAGAAGCGTTACCATATTACACCTCTTTTCTTGAGCTGTCAGCGAGTATAGGTTCTGAACGTCCTTCTTTTATATGAAGGAAGCCTGCCAGGTCACTTTGCTGCAGAACACACAGAGAAAGAAAAGATAAGTGGCAGGTTTAATGCGCTAAGTTTAGTGCTACTGGTACAGGATTAATCAAAGGTTTTCAATGTTCGTCACGTCCTTGATGTGCTGGATTTGAAGCCGGCGGGCAACGCGTGACGAAAACCCAATAACGTAGAAAGAGGTGTCCAAACAGGACACTACAAAACGCACGACTTCGACAAATCGTGAAAATTGAAGCGGACGCACCTATAGAAGCGTCCACTTCAATTTTCACGATTTGTCGGAGTCGTGCGTTTTGTAGTGTCCTGTTTGGACACCCCTGAACAGGGGGGCAAAATTACTTTTCTTCGCGGATTTAAGTGCGGCTCCCGACTTGCTGGTAAGTACACTCCCCCCCCCTGACTTAGATGAGAAGAAAATAAATACAGGAATATAGACAGCTTGCGCCACTATACGAGTCACCATACAGCTTTGTGCTAGCATGCGCACGTTAGACAAACCTTGTAAACTAAAGTTCGTCAGGATTTTTAACTATACCTAATATACCTAACCATGCTCTAAGGTGCTTTCCGGAATATATCAAGGTGTTCACCCTCAGGTGCTTGTTTCACAAATGGGGACGCAGAATTAAAAAACATACAATGATCAATCACATTGCCAGTGGTCGTTCTAATCACTGCAATGAAAGAATTAAAAAAAAATCCGCTCCCTTCCTTTTTTTTACTGCGTCACCTCACTTAAAACGTCTTTTCGTACGTCTCTTTGCATATATCCATATTCAGTCTTCCGGCAAATTTTCATTTCCTGACCAAAAGCATATTCATCATTCGTTGAAGTATTTCGATAAATGGCGATGATTGGATTATTTCTGCTGTGCGGAAACATTGACGAGCAAAATTCTTGTTTATGAACTGGTAAATCGATGACTCTGGTGGCGGTATATACACCCTAAAATTATGGTGCGTCTGTTTTCCTGCAAAGCACTTAGGAGAGCAAGTCGCTGTAATTTACGGAGGGAGCTCGGCGAATGAGGAGGCTTTTGTTACTTCTCTAATTCTTCCTGTCATTGTTCTGTCGTCACTGCAGTCTCGAGTAATTCTACGATTATGAACTTACACCAGCTCAATTGTGCCCCGACGTTTTATTTGCAAATATGTTTAAACCTAAGAAAAACAGATCGTGCTGTCGCACTGAGCGTGACAGCGATTGGCTTTCCGATTGCTTTGCGGGAAAGTAAACGCCCCAGGTTACTTAGAATGTACAACGAGAAAGTTTGTCTACTCCCAGCGCTGCGGGTACAGTGACGCCACAGCGCCGAGATATGAATTAAATGAGACTGGGCAGGACACAAGGGCTCGCAGCCTTCTCCTCTACTCACAGTATCCGTTCTATCAGATCGTGCAAGATCGTCGTCTGCTCCACGCCAAGTTTTTTACTCGCGAAGCCATTGAAGTTTTAATTTTGGCCTGAGGGACTTATAAGCTTTACTTCAAGACTAAAAACGTGACGTCAGTAGTTGTGTTATGGGGCAATAGGGGGGCTTTAAAGCTCGCGCCCGACGAGTTACAAAAAGTTAAATGGTTTAAAATTAATGCTGGTTACGCTCATGCAAGCAATACGAAAAATAAAAAATGCTAATAAAAGTGTTTTTTCAGACTTTCTGCTAGACTTGCGGTTTATTTATTATTATGACTTCACCCCACCGGAGAGCGCGTGGAAAATTTGAATGTTGGCTTTGGCAACTTCTTTCTTCGTCATTCTTTTTTCAATAGACCTATTGCTATATTACCCAAGCATCAAGGAGAATGCAGGGATTGGTGTTCCACGCGCCACACGCGCACGCCTTCCCCGTATAAAAGATTCGAAGTAAATAACCAAAATAAAGCGTTGACGAACGCGCGTGCAAGATGCCATTTGTTTTCGGAATTTACTTTAGAAAAGTTACTACCGCTGAGGCCAGCACGTGCGCCGCGTGGAACACCAATCCCTGCATTCTCCTTGATGCTTGGGTAATATAGCAATAGGTCTATTGCTATTTTGAATTTATATATAATAAATTGCATGCAGTAACCTCCATGCCTGGGTACTCCAAAAATGTACTTAATTTAGGCAGGTCAAATAAATCGTCGGAGCTTATGATGATAATGCAATTAAATGCAACGGTGCATGCGAGCTGGACAAAAATGACGAAGATAATCCCTGGAGAAGGGGAGCAAGGGGGAAAAAAAGGACCAACCTAAATCTCCAAACACAGCTAGGCGACTGGTGAGCGACCGAAAAAATCCGCCAGGTCCTGGTATCGAACCAGGGAGCTCTCCATTTCCAGTAAAGGGCTCTACCAAAAAAAAAAAAAAACTAAGCTATCCAGGTGTTAGACGTCTGTACAGCAAACGGGTTTTTTCAGCTGCCACCAGTTTAACACCAACGAGGGTGAACTGCTTGCGTTTTTAAAATCATGATAATAATGCAACTAATTTCAAAGGTACAAGCCAGCTGGACAAGGATGAAGAATGATGGAAAGGTCCCGGGTTCCATACCAGAACCAGGCGGATTATTTTGGTTGCGCACCAGTCACCTAACTGTGTTTGGAGATTTGTGTTTGTCCTTTGTCCCCCTTGCTCCCCTTCTCCAGAAATACCTTTCGTCATTCTTATCCGGCTTCCTTGCACACTTTCAAATAACTGCATTATCATCATATCCTTCAAAATGCAAGCCGCTCACCCTTGTTGGTGTTAAACTGGTGGCAGCACACACACAAAAAAAAAAGGAAAATGTTTGCTCTACTGATTTCTAAGTCCTGGTTAACTCAGTTGGTAGGTCGCTACACTGGAAATGGAGAGGTTCCTGATTCAATACCAGGACCAGGCGGATTTTTTTAGTCCCGCACCAGTCACCTAGCTATGTTTGGAGATTTGTACTTGCCCTCTGTCTTCTTGTTGAACTTCTGGGATTATTTTTGTCATTCATCGTCAGTCGTCACCGTCGGAGCTTCTTTTGAAAGGTTTGCCTTTGACAAAGAGGAGAGGAGATACCCCAAAGGGCACATTGTTTTTTTCTTGTTGTTGTTTTTTTTGTTTCTTTTCTACTAACAAAGTTTTACCAGAAGCGCCTCAATGAACGAGGAACCCACGACCGAGATGTCGACTGCCCCCCAGCCGTCAACGCTGCGCAGGCAGAGCTTCGGCGCTGATGTGATCACCCCCTCTCAGCGCGCCCCTTTTCTTAGGCGAAGGGACGCGTTGTGAAACATCTTTGCTATCTTTGTCCACTGGACCGTGTGTGTGTGTGTGTGTGTTTGTGTGTGTGTGCGTGCGTGTGGGCGTGTGTTTGTTTGTGCGCGTGCGTGCGTGTGCGTGTGTGTGTGTGAGTGTGTGCGAGGGTCTGTGTGTGCCTGTGTGCGTGTCTGTGTGTGTCTGTTTGGCGTGTGTGTGTGTGCGTGTGTGTGTGTGTGTGAAGGTTGAGGGGGGAGGGGAAGGAGAGGGCCAATCGTAAACGCGCACAGGACGCATTGGTTACTTCCTCACTGGATTGTGAAACAAGAAATGAGAATGCTAAATAGATCTCTTCTGCGCAATATCAAGCGCCGCGCATGCGCAGGTTGCCCACCGACTTGCCATTTTGTCCTGGTCGATAAGCGCAGGAAAGGTGCGTAAAACGGCAAATCCAGTCAAATCCATAACAGGTAACGAACATCCGCTTCCTAAACGCGACGGAAGAGGATGTGCGTCAGCTTGAGAATATAAATTAGGAGCGTGTTGGTTTTTGGACAAAGTCGACAGAAAGAACAACACACTTAAAAAAAACGAAAGTGTCCGTCGTTCCTTTGTTTTAAATGTGTTATTCTATCTGTTGTCTTTGTGCGTCACATTATATGGACTTGTTCTGGCCTACAGACTGCGCACACTATTATAACTGTAGGTATTATGCACAGTGCACTTACCAGCGACCACAAGTGGCTGCATGACAATAATAATCGCAAAACATTGCTTCAATTCATTTATACCACAGGTCTTGTATGTAGCATACATAAAAAAAAATATTCATGCACTTACGCAAACCTTCTACGTAATACAAGAAAAAAAAAAGAAAGCAACTTGCTTTTTCGGGGTCGTCGCTGAGATGCAACTTGTACTTGACCACAGTCTTGGCCATGATTAACGCGAGCTCTAGCTCGGCCAACCGAGACGCTGGGCAGTTCCGAGGTCCGATGCCGAAAGGGAGGTACGCCATTGGCTCGATCGTCGACTTGTTTTCCGGCCGGAACCTGGCAATAAAGAATAATTTACATGAAAAGCCCACGATTTAGTCACGGACATCTTAGATATAAATAAATATATTTATGAAAACATAGAGGGGATAAGCCAGAGTTCGTCCTTTGACTGGCCACACCATTCTTTTACTGGCGCAATTCAGCTCTATGTATTCGAGCACTTGATCGGCCGCCATTTTACCACTGAAATGTTAAAAAAATCACATAACGTTTGGATAAGATACCGCTTAGTTATGAAACTTTGGCACCTGGTTAGGACCGCTAGCGCTACGTTTAGGTGGAGACTGAACGTTCGACCATGCGTCATTTTCCTTTCCGGTCAATATGAATATGGGGGCCACACTTCGTTTTATTGGTAAGTCAGGACCCAGTCAGAGCGCAGTCGACCGCTCGAACGCAAACAACCAGAGAACGTCAAACTGAAAGCGCAAGTCACGGGTCATTCACTGCGCTTGATTGCTTTAGCTGATGGTAGACCCCATACTCGAAAGGTAACGAAGACCATGACGTTGCGCTTTTGACGCTGTATGATCGATTCGACGTGCTCGTAGCGTCGGCCGCGCTCTTAAACTAAAACGAAGTATAGGGGTACTGGATACTCGACTGGGGGGGGGGGGGGGGGGGGGGGGGGGGGGTTCTGCAGGAGACGTGGCTATTAATGCTACGTCTCCTGCACGGCGCATGAGGCCAAAGAAGGCCTCCTGCACGGCGCATGAGGCCAAAGAAGGCCTCATGCGCCGTGCATGAGGCCTTCTTTCTTCGAAATTTTGCCAGTAGAGCCAATGCTTTGTTTTGTTTGACGTTATCAGAGTAAAGACATTGTGAATGCATAATATCTTCCTGAATACAAAAGCTCAAAAGTCTCCAGATTATCGATAGTTATAGATGGAAGGATGAATGAATGGAGCTGGACTCTTTCAATCGGGCGGCCGCTTGCGCCACCTGTAGTCATTTCTGTGTTCGCTAGACCCGTCTCTGAGCGAACGGACGCAGAGTGAAGTTCTGAGCAAAAATACAAATTCCAGAATTAAAAAAAAAAAAACAAAAAAAAAAACATTTTGCGTTTAGGTTTCTTTATTTGCGCAGTGTCCGGTAGTCTAACCGCGAGACTCGAGTAAACCCACTAAAACAATGTCGTTAAATCGTCAACGTGACCACCGAAGCCATAAATAACGTTGGTCACATAATCGGTCATAAGCATCTTTGTTTACATATAAAAAGCGGAAAGGACAGACAAGGACAGAGAAGACAAGCGCTACACTCAGAACTGGCATTTAAAATCAATTACAAGAAAGAAAAGGAAGTGAGTGCCCTTTATAATCACCAAGATACAAAAAAGGCAAAAGCGAAAAATATAAAAAAGGAAAGGGACATATATCAGAGCTAATGCAGTGATAAAATGCTACAAATAAATTGCAGTAATAAATTACGTTAGAGGAAAATCACATAAAACTAAATGTTACATAAAAAATACGTCAACAAAGCTTTAAAACAAGTTTCAATCAACCTCCCCAAAAAGAAGCCTAAAAACAAAAAAAAACACAAAAACTCCCCACCCTCCTTGCTCCTTTTAATGATGAAACGTGTTCAACGGAACAGTCCCCTAGTTTCCGATTAAAAAGGATGTATTACTCAAAATAACGGTGCTAAAAGGGTGTAGTCATGTCTTAGGCATATATGCCTATGAAACCCCCTTCTTGCGTCCTTAAGTGTGTACAACTGCTTGATATATACATACGTATACAAAATGCTCACTGCAGATAACGAATGTCTTAGTTCAGACAACCCAAAAGGCGTTGACCTCTTACCTGTCAGGGTTGAACTCTTCGGGGTTGACCCAGTACCTTGGATCATAGTGCATCATTTTCACGGGAACTTGAATGTGCGAGCCCTTCGGAATGCGAAGCCCATTGAATTCAAAGTTCTTCTGGCATCTTCGGGTGACGAGCCTGCGTGGCAAAATCATTCGAGATATGCAAGAATCACGCTGCATTTTGTCACCAACGTTTCAGTATGACACACTCTAAGGAAGCTTGGCCTGTGAGTTCACTTTGCTGTAGAGCACTAGATAAAGACTCATCGCAAATAACTGTAGAAAGCGTATGACGAAGCTCATAATACGAGAAGGCCTGAAAGACTAAATGTGAGCATGGACATTGTGCAAGTGAAACGTCATATTTATTAAACACCCTATATTTGGTGTCGTATTCTGAACTTCGTCATTGGATGGGGTGCCTCTACAGTTCCTTGAGTACGTTTTCGCACTTACACAGGCTGCTCCACGTGCAGCTTGAGATAATGCTCAAAAATATTCTGGTGGATTTTACAAAGACAAAAAACGATCCTGAGGTATGGTTCGCCCAGTTTTAAAGTCAATTCTCCACATATCAGATAACCTCGCAAATCCGCATGTTCCACAACGTGGTTGCCATGCTCTGTCCCGACATTCCTACGGAAATACGGGATTTGATCCTCATTCCGCCATGAACGGATCCTTACACCAACTTAGAGACGGAACTGGTTAAACACACACCAGAGCCCGAACAGCGCCGACTAAAACCAGTTCTAACTAGCGAAGAGCTCGGTGACCGTAAACCTTCGCAACTGATCCGACGCCTGCTACAACTTATTGACGAGAGGGCCTTGTTATTCGACACTTTGCTGTTGAAACAGTTGTTCTTCCAGCGGTTGCCGACCAACGTGCGTATGGTCTTAGCGACGGCGTCGGACCCCCAGTTGACTGCCGTGGCACAGCTGGCAGGAGGCTCTGTGGTGCGATGTTGCCACACCACTGATAGCAGAACTTCAACAGAGGCAAGAATCCACAAAACCATGTACGGCGTCGACACCTTCCATCCTTTCCATTCAGATGACATATCTTCGAGACGTCCTCCATCAAGAGCTGACGGACTTCAGAAACGAAATATCGGCAGTATCGCTGCGCTCTCGATGTACATCGCGGCGACGTGATGACAGGCACAATCATCCAGACCGCTCAACCCCTAGGGTGTGTTGGCGGTACGGGTGAAACACTAGCGCGAGAGCACAAAATTTCGAATGATAAAATTATACAGCCTCCTCAGAAACACGTATTTCTGTGGTTTTTATTAAGAAATCTGTTACACGATTCGTAATCCCGGGCTTTGAAAAAAGGCTGCGAGTTACAGAAAACTGCGCTTTTCTGTAACTCGCAGCCTTTTCAAAGCTCGCAGCCTTCGCTGCGCTTTCCGCAGCAGACATGCTGTGTCTGCAGAGTTGTGAATCTGCATGGTGAGCGATTCGGTACGGCTGAAATGACTTACGGAATCCCCTTTGCCTGGGAACAAATCACACTTGCAAAGTAAAGGTGCATGACTGGCACAACGAAATTTTGTCAAAATCTTCGACTTGATCCTTGGTATAAAACAACCACTGCGGCCGTCGACAACGAGCCAAATTGAATAAATCATCTTTTAGATTTGTGCTTTATGCTTCTTGATTTGGTTTGGACGACACGCCCGTTTCTCAGCGGCGGAACCACCCAAAGCAGCAGGCGCACGTGTGCACTAGCGCTGCAACCCGACCTCGGTTCGTTTGTAAACAAGAGTCGGTGTATTAACGCGTGTCACCGAGACGGCCTTCTGCTGGACACGGTAATAAACATTTGCCTTCAGCTTATAATTACTCATTCCCATCGAAATACTCCGTAAAACAGGACGTGATAAAACGCTGACAAAATATCGAGTTTGTAATGGATTAGGACACAGTACCCTGGAAGTGGGGGATAGAACCTTAGCGATTCCGAAATGACTTGATTCAGGTACTGCAGGCTGAAGATGTTGTCGTAGTTGATATTTCCCTGTAAAGGAAAGTAAAAAACAAAACAAGAAAACGATCACTTGTTAGAATTTTAACGTCCCTGACAGCTTAAAAAAAAAACTCACGACGTGGATTATTGCGTTTACGCTTCTTGTTCTAAATTCCTTTTTTTTTTTTTTTGCCTTGGCCTAATTGGCCTCGCAATGATAATAAAATGCTCGTGGCTCGCCAAAACCTGCGCCTCTTAGACTGACTATTAGCCCCAAAAAGATGGAATGGCGCCACCTAACGGATTCTCGTCGTGACGTAGTACCAAATATCACGTGACCGCTTCTGGGCTTCGTTGCTAGCATGTAGGTTGAAGTGTGCCGTTCAGAATTCACGTTTCATTTGTTAATTTGAACAAAAGTTTGGGGTTGCGTGGGCCTTAAATATTTCGTTCTACTTCTCGTGACAATTAAGTTTAAACAGCGCGACGACACTGGCGTCGGAGCATATAGGGAACAGGACCTGGTGACCAAGTTCAATGTTATAGTGCTGACCACGACTAAATCGGTCGTCGCGTGAGTTCGAAGGCTTGTCAAGAGATCAAACATGTAGGTTCTGAGACAAAACAACTTCCGGGGCGTTTTCTTTTTTTTTTTTTTTTTCTGCGTTTTGGAGACAGGCAGGCAGAGAAAATAGAAACCAATCGCGACAATGTCCGAGCAGGCGTTGACCTTGGCATTGCGATCGCCTTTTAGCTTCCGCAGTTTGCTCGCGCGGTTTTGGAGAGACACTGGAAAAATGATGTGAACGTACACTCTAAGAAAAAATGGAGGAAAAAAGTAGCAACGGCGCGTCTTCCTCCCTTCTACTGACGCGCCTCCAAGCGGACACAAGAAACAGGGAGGAACGAAACGTTTTTCTCCTTCTCCAGGCAGACGGGAGAAAGCTTTCGCACTCCCGACTCATCGTCTTTCGGTTTCGTTTTTCGAGCAGGTCGCGCACGTTGTTTAATAAATAGCTGTCGAGTTGAGTGAGCTTCAGTGGCAGCGAAGGCCGCCTGTAATTCCGTCTTCTAGTCTAAACGTGCAGAACATTTCGGTTGCATTAACGTTTTTATCACTAATTTTATCAAACGAGCAAACGAAGCCGCTAGAAACAGCGAAGTTCCGGAGCAGTGCCAGCAGCGCCACGTACACTGGGGGATGGCCGTCTCCGGATTGCGGGACTCGCGCGGCACGGAACTACAGCTGCTACAGCGACTACAGTCACTACAGTAGCGAAACCACGCGGAACTGTGTCGACGTTTGCGACGTTATGGAAACCGCAGGAACTGCGTCCAAGAGAGGCAGGTTTTGCTGCCGGCAGCCCGGGTGCCTTCTGTCCTGAGTTCGGTTCTGTTTTCCGATGCCGAGTGCAACCGGCGTTCAACGTGGTTCTGTATTTGTGCGTGTCAGCAACATAGCTGCAACATCGTGATGGCAGTGTTGTGGGTTGTGAACAGAAGACTGGAATTATCGCCGATGTGACCGTGCGTTCGCGTATCAGTGGTGTAACAACAAGATGAGATCGTAAACTGTCGGGCATTGATGCCGTTGGTCGGGCCGTGATCTGAGGGGGCTTGGTCTCGCAGGTTGACATTCCGCTTTACATTAAAAAGTTTAATACCTCTTGAGGGATTACGTGCAATCGATCAACGTGCGGATAGTCATGTTGGAACGCTGGTCTGAACAGTAGAAGCTCCTATCGCTATCGTACAGTGGCCAACGTGACTGTCGGAATCGTCTTGTCCCCGAGAGCGATTGAGCTCTGGGGCAAGGACTGAACAGTACGAAATCGTGACGGAAAGTACGTATATTTACAGTATGGAATTTCGGCATTAAAAAACAATAGTAGGTAAAATCGAAGAAAAAAAAAAAAGCTACCCTTTATTTTGCTGTTTAAATATACTACGGTTCCTGGAGAAACTGCCCTACAAGTGGCGCGCTGGGATGAGCGGTAGAAGTTTTCGGGCTCGCCACGGCGTAGCTCCGTACACTTAACACCTGCCGCAAGTCGCGGCTTTGACTGCATTCAAGCTGATCGAAAAGCGATTTCTCAGCCCGTGAAGCATCACTTCCAGCTAAGTGAATATCCGCTCTACAGAGATTAATTCAAGACGACAATTGCAGCTTTGCGCGAACAGCACAAATAGAAAAACCAATAGAAATACAGGCTACGACGTGCCGTGTGGGGAAACAAACTCGTGGCTTCGAACCGCATTGGAGCGGCTTGATTTATTGGCTTTCAAATAATTACGGCATGATCGAGCGTTTACTTTTTAATAAGAGATTAATCCACTGAGCCATTCAAAATACTCTCAGAGGTGTGACATTGCTGGGAAAAAATCAACATGCTGAGAATATTTTTTATTGGTTAGGGAGTCACCGAAAAGTTCCGTACGTTCAAAACAACCAGTATAAAAGGCGGAAACGCAGAGCACGGTGTAGTGTTCGGATTAGTGTGGTGTTCTGTTGTATTGATATTTGTGTGTGCCGTGTATGTGCTCAATGTATGTTCACCTGATGTTTGTAGTAAGCGTAATGTGTGTATAGTAGAGGATCCCCAAGCGCACTAGTGGCCTCAGAAGAGCTAAATATTTTTTGTAGAACATGAATTGGGCGTTACCTAGCGCCACCTAGCCTAGCTACTTGCAATTACTCTGCTTGACCCCGCCATCTGGTGGCTAGCGAATTAACCTTTCACGCTACGCGATAAACAGCGGCTTCGAGTTTGTTCTTTGGAGAGCGGCTTTTGGTACCGCGGATTGAGTTTGCCCTTGTACGTGATGTGCGGTTGACAAAGGAATTGTGACTCGAGGAACACCAAAGGTAAGACGCAAAGTGCGCGAAGTAACTGGGTATCGGTTGTCTCCGTTTAACATCGCAGTGCTGTCGACGAGAAGACTGAGTAACTGCTTTCGTAACGCAAGTTTCTGTACCTGTGGGGGGAATCTGGCTTCGGAAATAAACACAGTTCGCGGAAAGCTCGTGCTACGCTTTTATTTGCTGCTGCCCTCGTCTTGTACAAGAGACGTAGCGTCCTCGTCAAGCCTTTTTGGGCTCGATTTGCTCGATTCGGGGCCGCCATATTGAGATGCAAGCGACAGAGGAACTGTGCTCCCCCGCTTCAGGGACGAAAGTTTCTCCCTTTCTAAAGGAACATAGGTTACAAGACCGTTCCTCCCCTAAGGGAGGACTATCCATACCCTTTTTTCTAAGAGTGTACCACATGATGCGAGGCGAATCCGTTCTGTGTTTATTTGACCTTCACATCAAAGAAAGCGGCAAATAGATTTGACAAATATGTCACTTCGACGAAAGTATCCGCCACCACCGCTCAACACCTCAGAGTCCGAAAATGACAAGGGTGCGAAGTAGGAATAAGACTCCCCCGGAAGATCTATGTCAAGTAGTAGTAGTAAGCAACCTTTAATTGCGCTCAGAAAGACTAAGCGATTGGTCGGAGACCCATCCAGGATTTCCCTTCCAATCACCCCTTAGGCGACGGCCAAAATCATTGGACTCCAGTGGCGTCCTCGGCCAGTCGGACGACTTGTTCCTGCACCTTAAGGTCGGTGCAGAGAAGAAGAGCTTCCCAGCTCTCTTGGTTGGGGATCTTTTTTTAGTAGCGGTTAGGTTCTATGTCAAGGTTCAAATTACTCATGCGGAATCGATTGATTTAAAAAGTGGGGGGTCGAGCGAACATACTGATTCAAGGAAAAATGCTGGGGGAAGGCAGTGAGTGACGAGCACCTTGCTAGGCCTTCCGATCCACCGTGTTAGGCCTCCCCACCGACTTGAGCCGCAGCTGAACTCAGTGGGATTGTTGTCGTGGCTTCCGAAAACCGTTAATCGATCGGCCTTTTGCGAGAATTGTAGTTTCAAGTACAGCGAAGTACCCGAGAGGTGTTAGCGGCCATGAAGATGTCGCAGGATTTCATCGTAACTTACAGAGAATTCCCGATTGTTTCGCTTGGCTATTCAAATTTGTGTTTAGGTTTCGTCCTGCGCACGCTTTGCGTGATAGCGAAAAAAAAACATTTAGTGAACAGTTTTTGCTTCTATGCGCTAAAGCACACAACCAACGAAAAGCAAAGCAGAGAAAAAACCTCGCCTCGTCACATTCTGCTTTTCTTACTACGTCATCATCGAGCGATCGCAACACTGTAATCGATCCCGCTCGGGGCTAATAGGAAGCAACGTAATGGGGTATTTACATGGGAAAGAAATCACTCCCTTTGCTGCCCGGGAAGCACGTCACGTGGTAAAGACGTCAAACTTTTGCGCGGAGCCGCGGTAACGTCGACATCCCAGGGAGATGCGGGAGATTTTGCTCGGGCTACACAATCACTCACCACAATGGTGTGAGTTCTCTTTGCAATGGGCTGTATTTTTTTTTTTTTGCGTGTCTGGCAACTTTGGAAATTTTGTTTAGCGAGAAACCGGCGGTGACATCGGTATAGCCTAACTTGTTGTGACGCGCTGTCGCTACTCAAACGAGTTTTTCCTTCTACGTCTTTTGTGCTGCATCCATTCATTCAAGAAGTATCTTTATTTTAGCTGGAAGCATTTCGCCGTCTTCTCATCTAACAGGGCTGCCACCGTAATCACATATCGGAGTTTCGTATACACCTGTACTTTTTCTACTCCCGTCAACGCGCGCCGTGTCCTTTTGCCGAATGTGCGACCGTTAAATACGTCTGATAACCATGGCATCCCTTTCGGTTCTCCACCGTTCGTGTGAATGCTTGATTGGAAGAGGTAGTGTCGCTGGTCCCGCCGATCACTGATATCCCGCTCAGTCCCCCCCCCCCCCCCCAAAAAAAAAAAAGAAAAAGCACCCCCCGTGTTGATATCCGTTAAATTATTTAGGACACGAAAGTTAGACGGTAGAATATTCTTGACATCGAATATACACCAAGGTTCGCGCGTTCTAGAGCTCACGAAATTAAAATAATCAATTTACGAATGTTCATAATGTTTATTAGCGACTATAGTGGGTTACAAGTCAAGAAGGTAGCGGCAAACGCCCCTCAAAGGGAATCACATATCCCTCCGCCACCTCCACATCCAATAGCGTCCCATCGTTTCCGTGACGTCGCGGCCAACGCGCGAGGAGGGTCTTGCCTTTCCGTACATATTTGCTTTATCTTTCGACTTTGACTTAGCATTGTGGAAGCCACGAGAGGGAGATTAGTTTTCCCCCTCCAATGGAAACAAATACGACTTTCAAGGATTAGGTTCCCCCTCCGATGGATACAAAGGCTGCTTTCAGGGGCTCGGTTCCCCCTCTGATGAATACAAAGGTCGCTTTCTTAAAAGTGGGATCGGAGACAAGTTGGCATCACTCTGTAGCCAATATCTATCCATTGAATCGGAACAAAGAGCGTTTCCAGTGAACTCTTCTTTCTACTGCGGAGGGATTCGAAACCGGCGCATCACGTTTGTGGGAGGAGCTTCTCCCACCTTCTTAATTTGTAACCGACTATAGGCAAAACTGTTCCGGTTATTCGCACCAAGGTTACCATGAACCACGTAATCGTGAACGCTCTAATTCTAGGCGCCTTCATGCTCGCCTCGCCAGAGTACGATCAAAGCCTCTCACGCAGCTCGGCTACTCAAACACTATGTACTCTCGCTGACAAGGAAACAGCGCACCCTCAAAACAAGCACTCTAAGCTTTCATGCACACAAAAGAAAGAACCACTTACACAGCGCTGTGTAAGCGGTTCTTTCTTTTGTGTGCATGAAAGCTTAGAGTGCTTGTTTTGAGGGTGCGCTGTTTCCTTGTCAGTCATGAACAACCAACTCGCCCGAACCTCCGTTTTAACAGGTACTCTCGCTCTTGCTCCCGGCCCGTTGCTCCCGGGCACCATGCTTTAGACAAACATACTGGGCTCGATGCTCTAGGTAAGACTTAAAAAATTGTAGCACGTCTCCCCGAATACCATAAATGTAAAGTGTTTTTAGTAAAATGTCGTGATCAAGGCAATCAAGCGCTTCCGTGAATTTCGCGAAAACTCCCAAAACCATTTTTCTTTCTTCGAAACTTTGCGAGATTAATTCTTTCTGCTCGAATAAAGCGGTTTCCGTTGAACAATGTTTCTTAAAACCAAATTGCGAATCTGTAATCAGTTTCTGTTTATTTATGAAATTTGTCAAGCGGATAGCATTTTTTTACAGCGCTTTTGAAAAGACCGGTAGTATTGATATGGGTCTGTAGTTTCCCCATTTCATCGCTGCCTTCTTTTTTATATAAAACCGAAACTTTAGCTATTTGTATGCGCTATATTGTTTTTTAAATTCATTCAAATCTTCGGAGCTTCTAGAGGGTCGTTGAAAACCAGTCTCAGCAATATCACCATGGAGCATCATCGTACCGGAAGCGTTCCTCGCCAGTATAAGAGTCTTTGGCGCTGTGCATGCAATCAACTTATCAATCATGCCCATCTCCACAGATATCTTACAATTGTATTGTTGTTCTTCCGTGTTTCAAAGCAGTAAAATTATTTTTCAGTGGCTCCCAGCACCGACACAGCATGTGGTGGTGGTACAAAAATGTACGCTTGTTTCGCCGGTGTGTGGACAGCAACATCTCGGTATACAACAAACGTCTCCTTAAAGCTACCCGTCACCAGCGAATTTAGATCGGCTCACCAAGAACGCAGGGTCAAGGAGAAATTGCTCATTTCACGCACCAAGATGGCGACTGTCCGGGGACCTTGAGGCTACTTTCCTATGATCCAGTGACTTTAGTGAGTATGTGCGAGGGGACGCCGCTCGTTGAAGTAATGACGTCATCGACGCAACTAACACGGCGGCCTTCCCAAATGGGGTGGATTCGAAGGGACCGCATATTAATCGATTTATCCACAAAACTATCGGGCCATTACCAAAACAAATTTAGAAGATATATAGGAATTTACGATAGGTCCTAGCAGTATAGTTACCTCATATTTTATTTCCGAGTGTCCTAACCAATTCAAACACACGTAGGCGGATTTCTATGGTCCCCGACACCTTAAGGAATACAGGGCGTTGCTTTTATTTTAGCACTTCTTGCTTTGTGATTGGCTCTTCTTCATTTTTATTGGCCATGGCTGCAATCTCCTTGACCGCAAAGCGATAATGAGATGAGGTGCTCCAGATATGCCGCGCCCTTCGTTTCTCACGTTTTCCGCGACTATAAATTGTTAAATCGGGGTTAAAAGTGTCTCCAACAAAACGTCTGCAGCAAAATTGTATAGGGCGTCCGCTCTTTGCGAATTTCGTGGGACGCGCAAGACGCAAAAAAATGCAGGCTGTTTTTTATTTTTTTTTTTGTTTTTTTTGTGTGTGTTTGAACATATTAGAGCCAGTGTTGTGCGTAACGGCGTTCCAAGGAACGGCGTTCCTGGAACGCGTTCCTTTTAGGAGGAACGGAGGAACGCCGCCGTTCCATTTTGCATCGGTGGAACTGGAACGGGAACTCGCTACTTTTTTACTGGAACGGAAAAAGGAACGACGTTCCTTTTTGTTTCGTCCAGTGGGGCAATTTTTATTTTATTTCTAAGAGAAAAATTCTAAAAGCATCAAAATAATATCTTCACAAAGAGCAAGATCCCGTTAACTCTCTGATAACTTATATTGGGGTTTATTTTGTGTGGTGTTTGCTTAGCAACAGTCGCTTTCAGGAAAGCTAATGGACATCGATTCTTTTTTCAGTGCCCGAGACTGCGGTACAAAGGGCGAGACTTTTAGTCGAAGAATAAGACGCAGGAAGAGGGACGTACGTTTTAAACTCAGATACTTTCTTTGCATCCACGAATCCTCACACACTCAGAAATCTAGGACCGACTACAGCCATCACTGAACTTCCACAAAGAAGCCTACAGTTACAAAAAAACAAAAACAAAAAAAAAACAGGTTACCAGACATCAAACAAACTCTTGTATCCCGAACACTGGTCACTTAAAAAATACACAAAAATTAATCTGTGTACCTTCTCTTATTGTCCCCCACTCTCAAACTGTACGAATCCGACTTTCACGAAGAAGGACTTGTAGTTTTCAAGACTGATCTTGCATATGCCCTACCCTCTTTTTCACTTGCTCGTCTTGCGGACAGCAACATCGAGAATTAACCATTGTTAAGTTCGAACAAGGGACTTTGTTAGATTGAAACGTGTGAGGTTGTTGAAAAACGTTCGTGCAATGTGGGGTAACAGTACATTTGGCTCGTCTGAATCGTTCGCCAAAAACATGAATATAGTTAAACCTTTGATTTTTAAAGGTGAATATATAAAAAAAATGAAACCCTTCTTCCGCTTGTTTTCTTCTCCTGGTGCTTTTCCATCACGACACTCAAATGTGTATGTTCCCATTTAGTGGGATAGATAAAATAAAAAAAGAAGAAAACTTTCCTCGATCTAACTAAATATTGTAATAAGCAAAATACAAAAGTAACGTATATGTAACGATACGTTCCATTTTTTTAACAGTAACGGGAACGAGTTCCTTTTTCACATATGGAACTTGTAACGGGAACGTGTTCCAAAAATCGGAAAGAATGAGGAACGTTCTCTCGTTCCTTTTTTCAAGGCACGTGTACAACATTGATTAGAGCGCATCTCTTAGGCGCCCGTTTCCGGCTCGAGTGGCGTCCCCGTCGCTGTCGCCTTCGGCGTAACCGCACGTTGCATTATGGGACATTTCCCATAATAACGTCACACATGACATCACAAGTGACGTCACGAGGGTCACGAGTGACGTCACAAAGGTCCCTCGTGAAGGTCACGACGAAGGTCACGTTCTACGCATTGACCTTCACGAGTGACGTCACGAGGGTTACTAGGGTCACGAGCGACGTAGCTCTTGAAGGTCATTGTGAAGGTCGTGGCCTTCGTCGTGACCTTCACGATGCCTTCACGACTGACCTTCAAGAGGGTCACTAGGGTCACGAGTGACGTCACGAAAGAGGAGGGTAAGAGGGGCTGAAGCAGAAGGGGGAGGAGGAGGAGAGCGGAGGAGGAGAAGAGGGCATGGAGGAGGAGGGGAGAAGAGAAGCGGAGGAGGAGGGGCATACTTTCCTCTCAGTACCGCCTCCTCTTCCTGAAGAGTTGCGCTCTAATTCGGCATTACAGGGAATTGTAAACTTCTTTCAATTTTTTCAGCATCGTCATTCGTTGCGCATCTATCGTTGATTTCCTCCGGATAAGTGGACGATCAGATTCTCAGGCGGGCGCTTTGTCCCGCGGAGTCACCGAGGCGGGACGGTTTCTGTCTTTAGACCGTTTTTTAAGCGTAGACAATTTCAGATTACGGCATAGCTATTGGGAAACTCACAGCTTTCTCCAGGAGAAGTTTTACTTCCGCCCTCACTTTGTCTTGGACGTCTTGATGCTTTGCCAAAAGGTACGTGGTGAACGTGAGTGCCGAAGTAACCACCTCAAGGCTGGAACAAAAGCTTGATTTAAAAGGCACGTTGCTGGCAACACTCAAACTGTAAAGCAGCAGTCACCTCATGGTGCCTGGAACGCGTTCCCCCCTTGTGTGCTTACCACGTACAAAAAAGTGGTCCCTCCATTTCCGCCCGATCACGACATAGAAGTGTCATGCTCTCGCCGGTCGCGATCTTGGCGGTGTCACAGCAGCGGTGGTGGATGTGACAGGCGCCTGTTCTGCTGCACGTCGCTCTCCACTGTGACATTCCACGAAAGCTTCAGCAGTCAGAAGTTGGGACGCCATGACGACAGCGACACTCACGTTCGCTCGTGATTTTCGCGGGAATTTCTACGACCAGCCGCCAGGATCGCGGAATCCGACAGCATGAGAGTCCGGCCTCTGTGACGTCATGTGCTGCCACATCTGGACAATCTTTGATGTATGGGAAGCATAGGACGCTAAACACACCAGTTGGCGACACACTCCAGGCACGATTATACCATTTGATCGCCTCTGGGGCGAGGCGGCTAAATATCCACTCCGCGGGCTCTAAGCCAGGGAGACAGGTGTTCTCGTTTAGTCACATAACGCGATAAACGCCCAACGCTTCTTTTTTTCTTTTTCTTTAATATATAATGCAATTGCCAAATATGTTACCGAAAAAAAAAAAGTGAGCGAGGATGCGTGTCCCGCTTTTCCTGTCGCTGGCTTAAAGTGGATTTTGCAGCTGGATGGCGAAATCGACTCTTCGCTGGCAGAAAATCTAGATATGGGTCCCAGTCTGATCCAGATTTTCCTCCAGCGACGGGTTCATTTCGGCACCCGGCTCCAAAATACCCTTTCCGCCTGCGCGGATCCGCCCGCGGAATCCGCAATTCTAAACGCGTCATTAGAGGGGTGGCGAAAAAGCAGACGGACGGAAGCAACCGCGGAGGGTTTCTGGCCGCGTCTTACGGGCATTCTATGGGTAGTGATAGAGCCTGTTCTAATAGCAGACGACGCCGTACGCTGCCGCACATGGTGCGCACGTCCGCCCGCACGGCTAGCAGACGCTGTAGACGGCAGACTATGGTGGCTAGAAAGGGAGGTGTGACGGTCGGAGGAGGCAAGGCCGTCGCGCTGCGTTATGACGCCGCGAGCGGCGCTGTCCTCAGCAGCCCGACTAGCCCGTTCCGTGTCCGCGCTGTCGTCTGCACGTTGTCGCGATCCCTTCAGTTTGCGGTTTTTCTTGTATCACAAGAAATAATGGACCGAGATTTTAATTTCGTTTGACAAATGTAGTATGTCAGTTTGGTCACGGAACCTTGCACGCAGGGGCCACCGAAGTTCTTGCCTTTATCTTTTGATGAGTCAGTGTGGAATAAAATTGGAGCGGAGATATCGAGTGTCGCGTGTTACAAGCAAAGGGAGATAATGACTTGATTTGTCATCGCTTAATGTTAAATTTTCTTTACTACAGTACTTAACCGTTGTCCAATAATCCAGTGGTAAAATCGAGCTTATGCCTAATAAATGCGAAATAATTTGCTACCCGAGAAAGCTGAATTTTACTCGCGTGTTCTTGGGTGCGGGTAATCGATTCTTAGAGAGGAATTTTCTCGAAAATACTATTTTTAAGTTTCATAAAGTTGTGTATATAATAGATAGCTTTGGTACATCACACCAAAAATAAAGCGTGAATTGCATAGTGTAACATACTTTAATGTCAATCCAAAGAATGCATGAACACTTTAATAAGCACGAAACTCAAAACAGGGTTGTGAAAATCTCCCTAACAGCACAAACATGAGCCGGCAGTCAGTCTCATAACTTCATAGGTTATGAGACTGACAGCTTGACAACAGAACAACTGTAAACATTTCAATGGTCACAAGTGGATACCGGCTTTTACAGCCCGCGCCTGATCTTTAAGTGTTTTTTTTTTTTTCTTTTCCGGCTCGCCTGCCTACTTGCATTCTTTGTGGCGACAAGGAAGTGCGACCTTGTTACCTGGTACCTGATACTCCTCATCTTGCGCGAAAGTTAATTGAGCAGCAGCTTGCGCAGATATTTACACTGCACACATCTGCTGCTCTCGCTCTGAACAGTGCCAGTGCAGTTCAAACTGAATACTTTGCATCCAAATGTGCGGTGCTTACACTTCGAGCAAAGCAGTTCATCAAGGTTCTGCACTTCTTCCAGTCCCATGCAAGCTTCCATCGCTTGTAGTTCTCAAAGCAAGTCTTCGGCTTTTTGTAGGCTCTCTACTTGAACTGTTTTCAAAGTTGCACCCTAAACGATCACGAGGGCGCAAATCACGTTGTTTGTGCTAAACACCACCGACCGCTCCAAGTACCTGCCGTCCCTCCGTCCATCTCGCACACTGAAAACACAACAAACTCAGGAGCACCTGAAATCAGATGGCTTCCCCAGTAATTGTTAGGTAGTGCACAGCCTTGCAGATCCACACCCTGCAGAACGCTCGTGCTGGTGCTCGGCAGATCTGCGTCGTTTAGCTGCTGTGCAGAATCTGACCCTTCAATGTCAGCTCGAACTGCTTTCAAAGGGAGCCCCTCAGACGATGTTTTTGTTCGGCGCTTCTTTGGCAGCGGCTTTTAGAAGTACGCCGGCAGACTGAGAAAAACTGTTGGTACCGCATCGTCCGTGAGGATAGTTCGGTCGCGAGAAATCTGAACGAGCTCCCCCCTCACTGTATGCGGGAAGTGTACGATATAGAGTTCGTCAAAGTGCAGTTCACAGAGGACTGACCTGTCGTCGAGTCCTTTGTCGGCTCTGGAAACGACGCGCTGTCATGCTTGGAAGCGATCTGCTTGTTTAGGCACACCGAACAAGGACACGTGTGTCTTCGCTCGTGTCGAAACATAGCCGCTTGAACACCCCGGGGCAAAGTAGTGCGTCTGCTTCTTCCGCATTCTGTCCACTTTCCTGTCTCGCTATATTCCGCTCACATGCTAGCAAAAAGCACGGGTAACAGAAAGACATTTCAGCTAATAAGTGGTAGCTCACGGAAGCACACGAAACAACCAACACGATGTCCAGGCGAATGACTCAACACAGGCAGAGCAGCGGTAGCCGCCGATGTCTCCGGAGAAACAGATCGCGCTGGGCTCGCGAGCGCCACCTGTCGCCGTCATACGAAAACGTAACACTCCGCACAACGGAGCGAGCCGTGGGACCGATACACCTCCCCTTCTAGCCACCATAGGCAGACTATAACGCACCGGACGTCGCGACATGGAGACATTAGGCTTGAAAACATCTTAAGCCGAGCAGCCAAGCCAGTCCAACTGTAATGGGTGGGGCCGCCATTGTGCGGGCGGAGTCTAGAGTGGGTGGCGAACTCCAGAGCCTGATGAACTCCAAGTAAACTGCTCCAAATGTCGTAAATATTGCGCAATTTTTTTTTTTTTAAGGTTGAGGGGAAAAAACATGTGTCATATTTTAACCCTTTAGTTGTTGTTGATGTTGATGATGTTTGTTGAGTGTCATTGTCAGCCTGCAAAATGCGTGCATTGTTGAAACGCTATACAGGGGAGGTCAGTCTTCTCCGCTAAGTTCTTTCTACTGTAACATTAAAATGGTTGTTTAAATGCTAAGGGTAGATCTTCGCGTGTTAATCTATGGATTTCGAAGCTGCACTTTTTGACGAAAATATCCACTTCAAATACACCTTTAGGTAATTCGAGCGATCAAAACATGCACAATACAACGGTAAAAGCTCCTTCGAGGGCACATCTTCGTAACTATGCCATTATTTGCATATTCCATAAAATTGTTTCCTGCTTGGACTCACCCTGCAATGACGAAGAGTTCGGCATTGGCTACTGTTGCAAACGGTGTGATCCCCCTACGTGGAATGTTCGCTGTACAGAAACAAAATCTCAAGTCAGTTCCAGCTCCACATATGTAAATTATCATTTGCATTCTCACTCAAGGCTCAGCGAATAAATAAAACTCTAAATTCCAGAAATTTCCGCCAAAAACTTGGTCTAAACCCTGTCTGCCAATGTTTCGTGTCAAGTTATTAGGAACGATTTGCTTTGTTTCTTTTTTTTTTTTTGTCACGTCATTTCAGTCTCGATTTTGGTTACATACCTTGACTCAATTCTGTCAAAAAGAAACACGAATATAGTATTTATTTTTATTCCGTTGTCATAATAATTTGCGTCTGACGAGGTTACAAAAACGTTCTTGTCCTTAGTGCCCCTCCAGAAGTTAGGACAAGAGAAAACAAAAAAAAGTGACAAAAGCAAACCAAGTAGCCCTTCAGGATTTCACGCGTATCATGCATCGCATGTCGAAGCCCCTTCAGGATTTCACGCGTATCATGCATCGCATGTCGAGGCCCCTTCAGGATTTCACCGCGCACTGGTCACACCGAGGTTCGCCGTACGCAGTAATTTCTGCGTGTTCTTTTACAAAATTAAAACCAGTGCACTTTCACGTCTAGGAATAAAATCAACGGGACTTCTTAATGTAAAAAAGTTAAGCAAAAGGTTGCTTGTAAGTCCCAACTCAAGTTCTGTCATACTCAGGTGGTCCCCATAATCGACTGAATTTTATTATTGCTCTTGACAACGTAACGGTCGATGCAACTCTCGTGATACTTAAAATACTGCAACAATAACACAACTTCATAACGCATTGCGTTATGAAGTTGTCTAGGTGGGCCATAATTCCTTGATATATCAATAAACATGGCAGGTTTTGGCAGTGCGGTGAACTGGTAATACACATGCAAATATACTTGCAATTTGTCGAGTGGCCGCTGTCAGTGGAATGTCTCGTTCCACTTGGCTTGACTTCTCCGCCGTATTTTTCTTCCGCATTGAACAATAACTGAACCAAATCTTCATTCCCTGTCTGTCGAAGGGGACGATGTTCGAAATAATTAAATTGTATGAGGTATAAGTTTCATTGAAATCGCCTAAAATAAGACCTCGGAACATTTATCTTACTGTTGCCTAGTTCAGGATGTTACGTGCGTCATAATGACTGTACACCATAAATTTCGCTTATTGTTTTATTAAAGACGTTTTACACATAAAAAAGAGCGCTGAATCAACCCCTCCTCTTCCTCCTCCTCCGTACCCTCCCCTCTTCCTCCATACCCTCCTCTGGTCCTACAGCCTCCCCCTAGATTTAGCGGGAAGATTGACGTCATGCTTCCTCAACACCAATTCAGTTTCCCCGCTACGTTTAGCGAGAAAAATAACGTCCCATGACTTCGTGTCCCTTCACGTACAAACAAATTCAGTTTCTTCATCGGATTTAGCGGGAAAATTGACGTCACGTGACCTCCATACCAATTCAATTCCCTGCTAAATTTAGCGAGGAAACTGAACGGGTGTTGAGGTCACGTGACATCAGTTTTACGGCAAAATTTAGCGGGGAAACCGAACGCGCAGTGTTACATTACGGGACGTCGCAGTCCTACACACCAATTCAGTTCCTTCGCTAAATTTAGCGGGGACTTCCAATTGGTGCAGAGGTCTGTGACGTCCCATAACGCAATGCGCGCGCGGTTACGCCAACAGGGACGCCGACGCCGCTATGCGCGAAAACAGACGCCTAAGAGCAGCGCTCGAAAATCATTTAAAAATTGACAATAACCAGAAGTTTATTTTTCATCGTGTTTAGAAGGATAGAAAAGGCAGCCTAGGGCCTCACGAGTACATGTCAGTTATGAAGGGAGTTCTCGAGAAAAGAGAACCGTGTTCTTCGGCCCGCATAAATAAAGTATGCTTCCCAGAAAGTACGAAATCTGTGATAATATGAAGCTAGCGGCTGGAACAGAACGCGAAAGTTTTAGAACAATGTTTTACCTGCATCAAAATATAATTGATAAAAACGAAATTACTATATGAACCGACACCGATACCGAAATTACTATATGATGTCGTCAAAACAAGAACTAACGTTGTGGAAGATTTGATTTATATCAGTGAAAAACTGTTATCCGCCAGGAAGAAAAGATTGTTTTCGTTCTTGCTGACAAGTTTTTGTTTGTTTGTTTGTTTGTTTTTTTCACTGAAAGAGATGCGACAGGCACCTACAATGTCATTTCCTTCCCAGTGTAACACTACTAGGCTGAAGTGGACGTTGGCTCAAAGAAATTTGGGTTTTTCTCAATTCTCTTTTGATCCAGGGAATGTCATGTTCTCAAGCTTTCGCAATCCATCCCAACCGCCAGCGACCCATTGCCAATGAGTTAAGGCTTTCTGCGGGGCATAGTTTATTTACACGGGCCAAAAAACACGGTTCTCTTCTCTCGGGAAAAACATGTACTTTATTGTAATAGTTAACAGAGCTGTTAAAGTGAGGGGATGGCAGTTGAATTCGTTCAGGGTCAGTGACAGCTCAGCAAACACCAACGTTGACGCTTCTGCTTTATCAGTCGGCGTTCCCTTATGCCGCATACCTACTGGCTACAGAGGGGCAATAGAAGGCTCGGGACCTGTTACGCAATCCGTTATTTAAAATTTTTTTCAGAGTTTTATAATGCTTAAAATGCAATGTTTGAGGAAGAATTTTTTACATTTGTTTAGGAGACATTACAGGGTTTTCGTAGATCGTGTTCGCCGTCTCGCGACGCCCTCCACAACACGCGATGCCTGGAACTCTACTGTCAAGGCCATCGGCTCGCAGCCGCAGTAGCGGTTTCTTCGTTACGGAGTGCTTAGCGGAGCAGGAAGCACGGTTTACGAAAACTCCATATTTAAGCGGTCGTTTCGGGGAGTGAAGAACGTATTTTTTATTCATCTCCCCGACCTATTTAGCAGAGGAACCGGCTTGGTATAAGAGTGAAGTGACGTCAATTTTTCCTCTAAATGTAGCGGAGAAACTGAATTTTGCCTGTAGGTATCGTGACGATAGCTCACGTGATATCAATTTTTCCGCTAAATTTAGCGGGGAAACTGGTTGTTGTGTAGGTTATGTGACGTCCATTTCAACCCCTAAATTTGGCGGAAAATGCAATGGCAGACGGATGGACGGACGGACAAAATTTGGGGGATGTGGGATCTCGTTCAAAAGCATTACACGCTTTAAAAATTGCACAAGATTGATCATGTTGGCAAAGACCGCGAAGGAGAGAATTTTTCAGCGCAAACTACTCTCTTGCAAGACAACCTTGCAGAAATTGACGTCGCGTCTCATGAGGTACATGGCTTGGTCACATGACGTCAATTTTCCCCGCCGCATTGAGCGGAGAAATTGACGTGACTTTCTACCATAAAGTTATTATCAATGAATGCGGATGATAAAGCACAATCTGTGTTAAAACTGAAACGAAGGGTTCAAAAACTGTAGCATAAAACGTCTCCATATTCTCACTTGATGGTAATTTGATGAACACTCACCCATCCTTTTGCTCGACGTAGGCGGACTAGCTCAGCGATGTATTTATGAACTCTGGTTTGAGGCTGCACGTGAAAGCATTCTCGCACGAAGAATATCAACTTTTTCATACTATTCCATATTGGAATTGCGTCTGTGAAATAAGTAAGAACAGCATTGAAGGCCTGATCGATATTTTCTGCTACTCAGCTGAATTCGCGCCTGTAGTTCGCCCTGACCACTAATAAGTTGAAGCAGTATTACATTTTGGATTTCTTTAGGCTAGTACCACGGCACCTTTCCACAGGGGCAAAAAGGTAAACTCGAAGAAATCTGAGGCAGGATTCTCAAACCTGTATACGACAAAAAAGTTTGTAAATACAGCTTGCGCAAAAGTTACCATCTTCTTGATTTTCTCGAAGCAAAATGTTCGCAAATTTTCTGTGATATAAGTCAAATCATACGACAGGGGTCCAAGTCCTCTTACGAACTTTTGCATAGCAATGCGTCCAAAATGGCTGCCTACGTCCCGTTCGTCCTTGAACACCGCGACGCCAGAAGGAGCTTACGGCAGCAGCGTGTGCTCAGCGCCCGTCAGAGACTGGAAACGATAGTCGATCATCACCTTAAAGGCCTATTCGCACATATATGGAGTATTCACAGGACGCCCTATTTGTGGGCGCTGTTTAGAGCGCATGCTCAGAACGAGCTTACATCAATAAGCTGCTAAGACCGGCACTTTTGATGGTGCGGAATGCACGTTGCAAAAGAACTGTGGAAGCTCACCATCAGCACGCGCTCAGCATTCGCGCACACAGCTATGGCCGCCAGTGAATACTCCCTATAACGGGGCGCTAAGTGAACGCAACGTGGGCGCTCGAAAGAGCGCTCATGTGGCGCTTCCTAGCGCCTGACTTAGTTCTAATATATAATACAAGAAGCAATTAGCGCTTTAGTAGCGCCTCGTTAGCGCTTTAGAAGCGCCTTGTGATCGCTTGAGTAGCGCCTTGTTAGCGCTTCCGAAGCGTTTTGCTAGCGCTTCTTGTACCGCGGTTACTGCTGCGGATTAAGCGTGCATTGCGGTTCCGGTTCCTGTGGTTGGGTCAGCGGCGGATTTATGGGTCAGGCCTGGGGGGGGGGGGGGGGGGGGAGGGGTTCGTATTGCGGTAGGCAGTCGGCTGGCGGAAAGGGGCGGGGGGGGGGGGGGGGGGGGGTCTGCTGAGATTTGACGTTACAGTCGAAACGTTGCCCAGATCTATTTTGTTGACCCAATATTTGCTATTTCACCAGAAACTCAACTTTTGGCTGGTGTATATCAATAATTTTTATGAAAATAAAGTTGACCTGGGGAAGCTTAGCGGCGGCGCCCTCCCCCCCCCCCCCCTCCCCCCCTAAATCCGCCCCTGGGTTGAGTGAGCATCACCAGCACCATGGCGGACATGTGGGACGCTGAAATAGAAGCGCGACAAATGCTCTTACATAAGCAATTAGGGTATATGTGTGTGGGCGACTTAACGCCGAGAAGAGCCTTCTGGGTGCGCGAAATCTTTCACCACCAACATACCGACGGGTTCCCGGCGAACCTTGTTCCCATACCGAGAGACCGACACACAGCTTTCTTGAAGGTGATTATTTCTTTACCTGCGTGTTTTTGAAACTAGGGTCACGCATGTCGAATAGAAAGCGATGAGGTCGTACCCAATCAATTAGTCGCTCAGAGTCCATGACTCTGGATCGTCTCCCCGACCGTTTGCTTGGAGAGCGGCTCGTTCACTTCATCTTTCGCCGTCAAAGGAAAAACAACGGAATCGCCGTGCACGCGCCCTTCCGCAGCAGCAAGCACGGCACAAGGAGCGTCAGAGCGCTTACACTGCGCTGCTGAAGCGCTAACCGAGCGCTACTAAAGCGCTGCTGAAGCGCTAACCGAGCGCTACGTCACGCGCAAGTCGGTTCCAAGTGCTGCTTCCAGCGCTCATGAGGCGCTAACTTAGCGCTCCGCTGTATGTGTGAATCGGCCTTCAAGGGGTCATGAAACGATTTTCCTACATCTTCCTCCTTAGCTTTAATCCTCAACTCAAATGCGAATTGTGAAATCACGTCGTCGTGACATTCTTCGGTACCGGTGCGATGACTCCTAGCTTCCCCCGTGCTTTTTATGCACATCATAGAACTTGTCACTCTCCAGTGACGATAAGTTCCGTCAGGGCACTCATTGGCCAGGAACGCGAATCCAAATATTCGTCGACGGATTGATTGCTGACGAGCGCATACATCCGAGTGACGCAGTTCTCGTGTCCAATGCGTGAGCTAGGCTCGGCTGACGTCAGGTTGGCACCACTGACGCGCTTTGGGAACCGCGGATGTATCATAGTGAAAAGGCGGAGAGCTTTCGAAGTAAAGAAGGTACAAAATAGTCCGCTATATTTTCAAGTGTTCGCACCGAAAAACTGGCTTTTGACTTTCTACCCTCTTTCTTCTGACCAACTAAACGATATGCGATTAGTAAAATCCCAATTTAAAATCATTCATCCCAGCCCAGAATTTTTTTCATGGCCCCTTTAAGCGAGGGGTTACTTCCGCTTGCTGAGGCCTACCGGGCGAAGCCCTGAAATGTGCAGGCGCCAATGCTTCGCCGCCCGACACCTTAGCTTCGTACGGTTTCCGCACTAGTGCTGCTGGCGCTTCGCTTTTATGCCAGAGGGAGTTTCCAGTCGGTTGTAGCTTACGTCAGAAACCCTGAGCCAGACGAGGGCCTCGCGAATAATCAACAGATTTAACGGTGGTTCGTGCTTCCTATACGAAAGCATAATCAAGTCTTTTGTGACGCCGTGGCAGTGCTCGTGTATGGGCTAGGCCTAGCAAGGTATTTTTTACTTGCCCTGCTGAGCGGCCCTGGCTTTTTTGAAAGGATCGCTGCCAACCGAGGGCTGGTCGGAACACTTCCGCGAGCTGGTGTTTGGGGACCCCTGCTTTAAAACATTAACACGGGTCGAGATATAGCATGTCTTGGGAGCTATGGGTCAGACGCTTCCTCTGCTGAACGCTACGTCAGCATCGAGTTGCGATTTGGTAGTGTCCTCGCAGCCTGTATAAGCGACTGCAACGTAAAATATTTGTCAAGAGCAGTTATTAAGACGCAGTCCCACGGCGGAGTTCCATCGCTTCGATCGACAACACAGCACTCCCGGCGTGAACAGGTGGCTCTTGCAGGCACTTTTCTGGAACAAAAAACGTCGGCTGCTTCTCGGATTTCTAAGACAACGAACGATGCCTTGGCTATTTGTCCCCCGGCGCGTCGTTTTGAAAACAAGCCGTTCAGGACACCCCCTTTACCAAAGAAAATAGACTCGTTGACATCGTAGCGATCACTTTGGTTGTAGGACAGTAGGAGTCGACAAAGGCGGCTATGCCAGCCATCCCGGCCATTGTAGGCTGGGCGTGCGAATTTGTCTAAAACAGGGCATTGACGACATGTAACTGCACGGACACGATGATAAAATCAACGACGCTGGAAGGACGCGGCCTCCGTTTGTTTTGGTACAGACCAGTGTTCAAGGCGTTACCGAAAAAAAGTAACAGAATACGTTACTCGTTACATGCAAATGAAAGGAACACATTACCGTTACCGATAAAAAGTAAGGGACGTTACTTTTGAGTAACTTTTTTTAATCATGAATTAACGCGTTTTACTTGTTTTGACGTTATAGGTATGCATAACCGCCATATTTCAAGAAACATTATGCCCATGCAGAAACTGAACATAATTACTTTATCTTTTTTACAGTTTAATCTAAATAATCACTAAAAAACGCAAAAAAAAAACTAAAGCATTCACATGATTGGTTGCCTAGAAACTTGAAGCAAATTGAAGAATAACTTTTTTAAATCTTGGGAAGAGAAGTTAACGAGTAACGCAACGTTACCCGTTATACGGAATAAGTAACGTAAGTACGTTACCCGGTACTGGTTTGAAAGAAAGTAACGTAAGTAGGTTACCAGGTACCATTTTGAAAAAAGTAACGAGTAAGTTACATGTTACCGACAAAAAGGAATGCGTTACCGGTAACGTCATTACTTGTAACACTGGTCCAGACCCACATGCTTCGAAACATGCCAAGCTCTCTAATGGGTGGTTCGTGTCGCCGAAGGCGCTATCGCCATAGCAACAGCCCTCTCTCCTGGTGATCGGGAAGTTGCGGGACACCGGAAGCTATCGTTTGTCCGGCGTTTTCCTCCTCACACTTACAAATACATTCGGGACGATCTGAGAACATCTTGCGATATGCGTAACTTACGAACTTCTTACCGAAAACATCTTAAAGGTGCCTTGAGGGGGTTTCTGAGATCGCCTAAATTTGGTGATAACTCAATCTGCGGGACCTGAGTATCCTCGAAATCCATAAATCATAACGATGCATGACCGATTTCTCTAATAAAAAAATAAATCATAAATCCAAATTATCTCCGGCGATGGGAGGAGCATTGTGCCGGTAGCCCGGACTTCATGTGACGAGTGAAAACGCGACATTTTGTTGAGATTTCCAAAGCTACTATTACAAAATGGGTATGATTTTGTAGATGAAAGATGCAAGTAAGAGTAGTCGAAGAATGTTCATTTTTTTGCGGAGAAGGAATATAATATTGCAATATTTGTCTAAACAAATAAAACTACTGTAAACGATATTTTTTTCGCGAGCTCAATATTTCGCGATTAAGGTAAAAGCTGAAGTTTTGTAATAATTCGCGGGTTCTAATTTTCGCGACACAGGGGGATTTCAATGTAGATTCCAATGTGTTTACATTTTACCGCAATTGTTGGCGGGACCTATATTTCGCGAATTGTAGGTGATTTGCGAAATTCGCGAAAATTAGGTCCTCGCAAAAATTGATTCGTTTGCAGTATTCTTTTTTTCTTCTTCTTTTTTTGAGAGTGATGTGTGCGTTTGTTAGCTCTCGTGCGCATGAGCGCGCGCTCTCGCTGGGTTGAATGGTTTTCTGGGCTGTATGGGCAACGCGCCACGCGTTCAAGATACTCTCACGAATGACAATGGACCTCTTGGTGAATATGTGCTGCCACCTAGACACGCGACTGGGTTCGAGGCTGACTGGCGAGAAAATAACGCGCGCTCAAGGCCTCTCCCACCCGTTCCACACCCAAAACGTCAGCTACATCCTGTTCACCCATTGAGGCGCTGTGACCTAAAATACTGCTCCCCCAAGCTCACCTTTGTCCCCATCGTGCTTAATCTTCCCCCCGAAGACACAACGAAACCATCTTCCTTCTCTGCTCGGCCAGAAGGAAGAGAAAAAGGGTATTGGAACCATTTACTCTCGAACCGATGTTTCTACAAAAGGTCCATTGATGCGGCGACGAAAACTGAAGTAAACTAAACATTTAATGGGGCGAACTTCTGTCCAAAACAAGATAGAAGAAGGCAAACGTCGCTGGAGTCGATGGCGGCGAAACAGCGCGATCGAACGCTGGAGCGAGACTGACTCCGGCTCGCCACGTGGAGCCCCTAATGTACAGTCGTGGGCTCGATCCTGGAACAATCGACGAAGAACGTTCGGCGCGTAGAACAATCGGACCTCGAGCGAGACACAGGGCTCTCGAAGTTATGAGAACGTGGCATTTACAGAAATAATAAAAGGCTACGTCCGTTCCTGGGCATCACCTGGGAGCCTCCGAGCGACACCCAAGAACGGCACAGCTGTGTATAAAGACAGTTCGGTTAATGGGGAGGAGTGGGCAGAGCCAAGGCGTGCACCAGGCGCCACAAGAGGGCTTGACATGTTCTCTTGGTTAACCAGAAGCCGAAAAGATTCCCCTAGCGGTGGCAGCGAGAACCAGGTTTAATCATAGATATGTGGTTTTAATCAGCGCGTAAGAGCTCAACGTAGTAACCCTTCATATATGAAAACATGATGAGCGTGATGTTTCGATTATGATCACGAAAAAAGATGTAAGAAACGGATGTGCCACTCGAACTCTGTTATGCTCGAACAGAGTGTGGCCACTCGGACGGCAGATTCCCGGCCCTCGGCGCCTGGCGTACGGATTATGTCGATCGTTCCGCTAGTTGCGCTCTTCCTCCGTGATTTTGGATGAGCGTGATTGAAACATCACGTGCACCATATTTTGAGTCACCGAGAGTTACTCCGACGCACTTATTAATTTAGTTTCTCTTGACCACCTCTAGGATATTATTTCCGGCTTCTGCATGGTTGGCCATATACGAATTTGTGAAGACACCCTGGAACAAGCCCACCGCGCTTTTGGTCCATGGTGTCTCCTAATATGACGTTAATACTTCCCAATGAATGGCCGAACTCTCCGTATGTACGGCTCTGAAAAACGGTAACCATTCGGCCACGCACGCGTTCCTCGGCGACGTGCATGGCAATATCACTCTGCGGTTCCACCGGTCGGAGGCGCGAAGATCCTCCACTCGCTATCGACTGACAGCGGTCCTGGTTTGCGAACATGCTCCTGCCATCGCCGGAGAGGAAATCGGTGTGTCGTGATATTTGATTGTTTTTATAATAGAAAATCGGCCGCGAATAGTAATGATTTAGGATTTCTAGGATGCTTAGAATCAGGAGAATGAGTTATCACCATAGGCCATCTCAGAAACCTCCTCAGGGAACCTTTAAGACAGTCTTCGTGAATCCTGCCTCTGGAGCGCCTACTTTCCTGCAACGCACCTGGGAGGGTCGATCGCTGCACTCTACGGAGAAAGCTGAGCTAGTGACGAGGATGCTAAAATATTTTGACGCTAAATACACAGTCTGGGTTGTTGCCCCAAGCATGAAGTTTCACCATACTCGGTGTACGTAGTAGCGCAGACTGTTTTTTTTTGTTTTTTTTCGGAGGTCTAAACGTAATTTCAGCGTCGTCATTCGTCTACCTCTCTGTGTAGATTGTAGCAATTGCATCTCCCAAGTTTGTTGTGGGAGAGTGGACGCGAAAGACTTCTTAGAGCCTGCAAGCCGTATTACACGTTATGCTTCTTTAGGTAACTCCAGGGGCGCTCTTCTACGGAGGCAAAGAGGTGTCCCGTTTACATACATCTCATACATCATGCAAAAGACGCGAGGTACTCTACAGACACGATGACAGAGCTATCTGGGCACACGCCTCACGCGTGTTCAAAGCCTATTTGCTTCATACACATGTATGCGTCGAAGATGACAGCACACATTTTTTGTATGACCAAAGTGACATGAATATCCTACAGGAAACAAACACGCTTAAGACAGTGTCTGCATACTTTCACTCTTACGATGTATTAGCACTTTTTAGCCAGAGGCTATGGCTCGCGAAGTTATGCCTCTTGAGAGCTCCTCTTGAGGAGTGTATGGCAAACGTCTCCCCTACGAGAAAGTCTGAGGGCCCGAGGGTGGATGCCGGGGACCAAGGCACCGGGACGTCGCAAGCCGCCGATCTAGGAAAAATAGGCGGCTAAGCCAAGCGCGGCGCTGACCAGTGGCGGCGGGAGGCGATGTCTCCGTGCTTTGTTCCCAGCGTCCACCTTAGGGCCCCTTGGTGCACTTCAATATGCCATCCACGTCTTCCCATTGAATCGCGACTCAGCGAAGTACTCACTGAAAATCAAAACCCAGCTGTAAGGAGACCGGGCAAGAGCAGCTCGGACAAATTTTACGAAGTACTCGGTCTCTTCGGAAACCACCTGGACGTTCGTCCGGGCCCCTATAAGGTAACGCAATAGGACATCTATGGAAAGCCGGCAGAAGGGCAGGCTTATTTCGACATCTCCCCTTTCTCGTTCCGTCTTGTCCACAATCTTGAAAAAGTCATCGGTGCATTCGTCTATAATCGGGAACGCCTAAATGAAAATCAAAAAGGAAATAAATGTAAGTGAGTCCGCAATATAGGCTGCTCCGACGATTTACTGAGCTACAAACAAGAAACACATTTTCGGAAAGGCAATTAATCATCTTGAAATTCAGAGTAGCTATTGAGAGACCGGCGTATGATGTTAGGATTAACCAACGCCCAAATTTTTCCGCGGACTTTGGTGGGCTAACGTCACGTGTATAATTGGAAAATCGAGCAGGAAATATGAAAAACACAACAGGCACTATCAAAACGCTTCTGACAGTAGTTTGGTTTATGAAGTACTCAAATAACAGGCGAGCTGGCGACAATTCATCTTTAAAAATAAAACAAGGCAGACCACACATTGAGTCTAAAACATCCGTTTGGGACTCAGTGCGTGATGTACCCTTTCCTCTGTTTTCCTCTGCCCCAAAGATTTTCAAAGATGATATTATTTTCAGCGTATTCTTTTGTTTTGCTGGTTTGATTTTCTCCAGTAATAACTTGAGATCACGCCTACGCGATAGCAATCTTAAGAAATGTTAGAGGGACAATGACAAGGGTACATATCCGTGCCGATGTTTTTATTTGAACATGACCTATAAGAGCCCTACTACCCAGAACACAATTTGCGGCTGGAATTTCGTATTCTTTCAACGCGAAAACCGCCGCTCGAGAATTTGCCAGTTTCCAGGCGCTGTCACTCTCTTTTCCACTGTTGTGTGCCGTTCAAACTGACGCAAAACAAATATGCTCCAATCGTGGGTCATCTAAGATACACCTTCAATATTAAAACTAGAAAATATTATGAACTTCATTTTTGTGGCTTTTAAGTAGCCAGAAATTTGCTGACCTAAAAAGAATGGTTAGCTCAGATCACACGAATTAGATGTACAGGATATTCTCAGTATGTCGACGTAATTAACGTACGCTCGCGGGCTGGACGACGCGATGGCGGCGCACGACGAACCAACGTTGCGACGGATGTGGGACCGTTACTTTGGAACTGTGGTTTGTGGTACCTGCCAATCGACCTTCAAGCACAGAACAGCGAGGGGAAGGGATAGATGTGCGAAACATTCGAAGGACAAGCGTGTGAAGCAAACGTGCTTGTTGTCGTCGTCTGCTTCACGCGCCCAAAAAACAGAAGAAAAAAGAAACTGGGTAAGCAGCGATAGCCACGTGCCTTCCGGCAACTCTCTCCTCCGTGTCTCCGTGCCCATGTTTCAGTATGGGTCTTGAGGAGTTACATTTTTTTACTTTATTAAAATATATATGACTCTGTAGCAAAATACTGACTGGGTAGTCTTCTAACTCCATACTAAATCGCCAGGTAAAAAAACTAAAATGTCATTTCGGTAATGTCAGTGTCCCTTTAAGGCAAGTGATCGTAAGCTGCCATAAGTGTGTAAACCAGCCTTTACGTGTTCGCACTCATCAAGATCTCTGCAACTTGAATTACATACCCGCCTCATCATGCTCGACTTGAAGGCCGGTGATGTCAACGCCCTCATAGCTCGCCATTTGTCACCGGAAAGTCTTGATATTTTTACGTCGTTGACAGCTTCCACACTGGTCAGCTCCACAACTCGCTGAAAAAGTGAACGTGCATGACATACCTTAATGTAATGACGACTACTTAGGGAGCATATTGTATTGCCTGTATTTTAAGGTTGTGATGCGATACTGTCTACACATGCTTCTGTATTTTGATGTGGCTACGCCACACCAGTACCACAATACATATACAGCCGTCTAGAGGTGCAAGCATAAGAAAGCTCAGGAAGTAAAGCCCTTAAGGTTCTATATCAAAGGAAGATTCCAAAGTCACACCTTTTTGAGAATTGCGATACATATAAAAGCCCGTTATCGCTGCAGTCCTGGGTACCGGCTTTCGTGAATGTATACACACTGGTGAGAAATCTGTATATCTTGAGTTTATTTCGCTGGCATTTATAGTCACTTTAATAAATAAAGAACACGGAAAGCGGAAGGCCTCTCAAACCGTGGTCAAGGAACCCAATCGGTGCTGAAAATTTAAGAGTTTTTATTAAATTATATGACATTAGAGCTGTTTTATTCCGAGTGTCTGATATCATTACACCACTCTTAACTTGTTTTGTTTTTTCGAATGATGGGACATAGTTAAAAAAGAACAAAAAATATTTCATTCTGTTTTAGGTTTCCGAAACTTTTAAGATTTACGATACCGTCCGCTTTCGTTAGCAAAAGCGCATAGGAGAAGATGGTATGATGTATAAATTCCTTTAGACGTCACCAGGATAAGCCTTTTCACAGTTTCCCGAAACAAAATCATTCACAGCCGGATGCGAGCCCATTGTATAATGCCGCTACTTCCAGTTATACGCTGTTTCTGTAGCTGAAATGAATACAGATGGGTAAAAAATGTCTTAGGAATCGCTTGATAAATCGCAGGTGTTCCAGAAGGATCAGTTTTCTTGCGAAATTCGCGCTCCCTGTGATAACAATAACGCGAAACTGTAGGCCAGCAAAAGTAGCAGCTCTGGTGTTTTTGTGTAATAAGTTATTTGTGTTGTGTGCGTGTTTAGACAGCCGGAAGTTAGTCAGTGATTAATGTGTTATTATACTGAAGAATGTTTTGGCTGGTTCATTTTCGAATCTTGTAAACCTGCCATCTTTTAAGCTGCATGATTGTGAGTGTATGTCCATATGGCCTATGAACCCCCTTTAAATTATGAACCCCCTTTAAATTAAAAAAATCTTAAAATATTTCTGCTAGCTTGTTTTGATAATAGGAAGTCAGTTTCTAAAAAAACCCCGAAAATGTATTCCTCTGCGATACCGTCAAAACTGTTTGTTCAGTTACTCGAGCGTCGCATTCCCCTGCAAAGGTGGATTTATTGAAAATGGAGGTGATAATCATTCCCCCAATAATTATCGACCAATATTGCTTACCAGTGTATCATGTAAAATACAAGAAGAAATACTATTTTCCCAATTGACTAAATTCCTGTATTCAAATTCTTTTTAAACACAGCTCAGCATTGCTTGCGCAATCCTTTTTCTCGGTGAGACGCAGTTTTCATATTTTGCTAACGATCTTCACTCTGTCGTTGATCCCGGGTTTAAGGTACATTTTTTTTTCTAGATTTTTTGAAAGCATACGGTGAAGTTTTTCACTAGTTGCTTGAACAAAAATTTATTTATCTGTGCATAGATCCTAACCACTAACTTCCGGTTTTCCGGGCTAGGTGGCGCAAACTACCACCTTGTATAAATGATAAAACCCTTAGTATCCATCCATCCCTTCATCCGTGACAGCTAGGATAGCATGCTTCTTGAATAATCAATTTTGTTTGATAACTCATATGAGAATGAGTTTCCTCTCGTTTCCGTCACATTTGGAGTACACCGGGGGTACTTTATTAATGCGAAAGCATTAACTTTCCCATGGAGCGAGCTGACGTCATCAGTTTGAAGCGCGAAAACGGCACCTAGTTTCCCCGATCCTAAAGGAACGAAGTAAAGCTGATGGAAGTAAAGCCATTGGATGACGCATCGACGGGGTTCCCATTGGCCGCTGCGCTCGTCAGTTTCCACGACCGCTCACCGCATGGCGCTGCGTGTCCATCAGCGCGCCGTTAGCACGGAGCGTCCAGGGGAGCACGCGCGCTGACCGGCGACGGAAAGTACGCAGCAGACGAAAAAGGGAGCGGACAAGCGGCTTGCATGCTTTCGCATTCACAACTCATAAGAAGTGCTTAGGTGTACCTTGGAGCTTTTTGTTTTTAATTCACAGTAAGAACTTGCCACACTGCGTTAAAGCGAACTAGAGGAGGGTAGTGAGCTCAGCGAGCGCTCACGGCTTCCGGACTTCGTGTGAACGAGAGAAAAGGGCGCATGCTTCACATAGCATTCGCGGCGCTACTAGGGTTGTCGTCGTCGTTGTCGTCATAGTCGATTCGGCATTGAACTTCATTCGACATAAGCTACAGAAAACACGGGGGAAAGGATCATCTGAACGAGAGCCTGTTCGCGCTGCCAAACTGCCAAGCCAAACCTGCCTGTCGAAGACCCTTGGAACGCTCCGATTCTCCAGCCCATGCTACTGTAGCGCCGCCGCGTACATCCAAGGCCTTTCCACGCTCTCCACTTCACAGCAATCACATGGCGCGCGTCGGCGCCTGATCTTACTCTAGTTCACTGTAACTGCGTTTCATCTTCATTAAGCCGTTTCACTTATGGCTCTGTAAATTACAGTGAAACTAAAAACCACACTGTTGTTGCCAAGCTTCTGACCTAAATCAACTCTTTTTACCGATGATGTAAATTTTGTCAAAATAGAACTTAATACAACAAAATGCAAAATTATGCGAGGTGCATGTAATGATACTTCAGTATCATCGTAGCACCTTAACAATGTTCCTTTGTCTTCCGTCGCTTCTTACAGATATTTGAGAGTCCACATTACTTGTAATATCTTCTGGAAAATGCATACCTAATCTTTCCCCTTGCACTATTGATCTTAAAATTAACCTTGCATAGGACTCTCGTTCGGTAGTAAAATATCTTTTGTCTGCCAGGTCACTCTTATCATCGATGCTCTCGAGGCAGTACAAACCGGTCAGCTTGTTTGATTTTCTGTAATTATCATGGCACCGCAATCGTAACGTCCATGAAAGCATATTTATCCCTTACCAAAATTTCATTCCGTCATAGAATTGCTCGCTTATGACCTTTTCACGAGATATATGATGCTACCTCTTACTTACACCAACCAAATTTCACTCCGCTATTGTATATTTTACCACGCATCGACCATCAGTTCAAACTTGGCCTTCCCGATTATAAGTTTAACGCCTTTTATAATTGTAGGAGTGAGCTCCGAAGGATGAAATAAATTATTTTTCTCCTTTTTTTTTAGCTTGCTGCGTGAGCTATGTAATGCGCGAAGATTGAAAAGAACAAGTTGAGCGAGAACACCTTAGAGCTCGGACATCAATTCCAAG